CTCCTCTCGCCTTTGCTGGGCAGCTACGAGAGCTTCCACCATCTCAAATAGTCTGTCTAAATCCTCCCGAAGCGAATTATCTTGAGCCGCTCGGTTTAGTGGGGGCCTTCCTCTCCTCATTTTCGTGTACCTGCATTCACAAGGAATGGTTGAGTAACGATCTATCGGTGAGTATTTCTCTAAGGCACTATTGTATAAGGGATGGGTCCGAGGAAATGCAGCTCTGATACCAACTGTAACGGCCCCGAAAATTTAAAATGAAATATGTGTATTAAAAAGGTCAAATGCGGAAGCGAAATCAAAATTTCGATTAACATCCCTTACACTAAAACCAAAAACGTGCTCAAAGTATAAAAGAACAAACTAACTAAAAGAGAAACTCGAGAGTAAAAGTTATGAATATGACTACGGAGTCTTTAGGCGTCCCCTTCGCCGTCTTCCTGCGGAACGGGCTCGGGAACAATGTCTTCTTGATCTGAAATGATTAAATAAGGAATGAGCTACACCAGCTTGAACCCAAATATCGCCAATAGGTGTAATAGAAAGTTCAGTATTTCATACACCGATTCGAGTAAAAATCTCTTACCTTATTCCCCGTTATAGAATTGAAATCTAATTATACATAATATGATATTTTGTCTAATTTAGAAAACTTCAATAATTAATTAAATGTTACTAATGGAGCCAGAACCGGTTGTTTATTACTGTTTGTCTTGTTTTAACTTATTGTTTAATATTACAGTTTTAAATGCATGATAATACACTGAAATTGGTAAGATGATTCAGTTGTGTTTACTTGATGCATGTATTGTTTGTCTTGTATGATTTACAATTAAATTGTGAAATTGAAAATTAAAATGTAAACGAGAAATTAATTGGTTAAATGAATGAGTGAATGGTTATCTTACTGGATATTCTGGGAGATGGTGGACGGACCGGGTACATAGGGAACCTTACGGTGAACGATGTCTCATGCCGACAGGACATGAGAATGGCCCGATTTACCATCATACCGGATGGAGTATTGAGGATGATACTTTTGGCGCTCATACTGGACAGAATATGGGAACAGTCTGATTCATCTTCCTATCGGATAAAGTATTGAGGGATAATACTTTTAGCGCTCATACTTGACGGGATCTAGAGATGGTCGATTAGTTGATAAGTTTTGTTATGGGTTCACGCGTAATGGGATATCCCTATGAACCCCCAATGATACCAGTAAGTAAATAGAAAAAAAGAATTTGTTATTCTGGTCACTTGAATATGAGATTATGATGTTGTTTGTGTTATTGACTATACAGGATGATTTTTGAAAATTTCGTTACGATAAGTATGTAATAAATGATTTTATTTATAATAAATGAATTTACTTAAGTTAAGAGCTCTATTGGTTATTTTTATAATTTTTACCAACTTTCATTTTTGTATCGGTGAGTAGTGTGATATTTTTACTGAACTAGTGTAGTTCACCTTTTTATTAATCATTTCAGATCAAAAAAACCAAAATTCAGATCCCGATCAACAAAAAAATTGTAAATAGTTCAAAACTCGAACTTCTTTCAAAGGTTAATAAATGTCCTCCTAAGATGCTCTAATATTATTGTTTACTTTTTATTTATTTATTTAATTTTTTACTTGTTTTTTTAGAATGGTCATTCTCATA